GGTTGTTGTTGGTGTTATTGTTGGTGATTATGTTTGGGAATGAAGTTGTGTTGCCGCAGATCTGGGGATGTGTAATGTCGTAGATCTGGGGATGTGTGGTTGTGGAGGTGGTGGATTTGTGGTGGTATGTTTTGGGAGGTGGTCGTGGATCTGTGTTGGCGGTCGTGTGGTGGTGATGGTGATCCGTGTGGTGGTGGTCGTTTTTTGTTATTGTTGTGGCGGGGTCAACGGCAGTGGTTGTTCTTTTTGGTGTCTGTAGCCTAACCATTGAACTGTGACTTTAAAATTGGCAATTTGTAATTAAAAAAAAAAAGAATATGTGACCAACAAATTTGAAAATACGTGACCTGTGACATATAATTTTTTTGATCTGTGACCAATAGAATAATCTGTGACCTATAAAATTTTAGATTTGTGACCTTGAAATAATTCGTAACCTACAAAATTTTTGATCTGTGACCAATAAAATAATTTATGACCTATAAAATTTTAGATTTGTGACTTCGAAATAATCTGTGACCTACTAAATTTTTTATCTGTGATCGGAGAACAGTTGCCAGTCACCGACGTAGTCGTCGGAGCAATACGGGAAGGGGAGGTGGGGGTGGGTTGGGATGAAGTGGATTAATTATATTATATTACAATTTAATATTTAATTTAATATAATAATTGTGAAATATAATTAATTAATTTATGAAAAACCTGATTTTTGCAATTCTAAACCTTGGGACCTGATTTTTGATTTTGAGATAGATAAAGCCTGAGTTGTAAATTTTTCCCATATTAAATGNGGGGGTGGGGGGGGGGGGGGGGGGGGGGGGGGGGGGGGGGGGGGGGGGGGGTGGGGTGATTTTATTATATTACAGTTAAATATTTAATTTAATATAATAATTATGAAATATAATTAATTAATGGAAAACCTGATTTTTGCAATTTTAAAACTTGGTGCCCGATTTTTTATTTCATGATAGATAATGCCTAATCCATGAAGTTTTCCCAACCAATTATTGTTATCCATTTTGTGCTTTTAATTTTATTAGGAAAAAAAATAATTCATTCGGTAGAACTTTTAATACTAATATACTATCGCGTCATTTGAAAAAACTTTGTGCTGCATTACTCAGAGGATATATGTATAGATAACCTAAAAATAAAGCCGTATTTCAAAAATGACATTTGACTTTTCTAAAAGATTAGAACTACCCAAAATATCCTAAGTATAATATTTATATAAAAGCTACCAAAGTATCCTAAAGAATTAAATCATCACAAAATGACTTATAAAAAATCCAGATCTAAAAGAGGACCATATAAGATCAAGGAAATAGCAAAAGATAAAAAAGAAATTGAATTTAAAAATGAATTCGTCAAAAATGGATATGAAGAACAATTAAATGCTTCACAAAAAATAT